CGTGGCGCGGGACCAGGCTTCTAGAGCACGACCTCTGTGCCAGCCACAGCGTCCTTCCCGGCCGCGCGCCCACCGCCGTCAGAGCCCCCGCCCACCCTGGAGTCCGTTCCCTTCGGCCATCACCCCACTGACCGACCTCCCAGCTCGCCACACACCGGCGCCCTTCACGCCTGGCTTCTCGCCCTTGGCACCAAGCTTTCAGCAGCGTCCGTGCCGCAGCACGCCCCACACACGTCCCTGTGCACAAGGCCACAAGCCCCCACCGCGTGGACAGGCCACCTCGTTCCTGCCCTTCCGCGGCGTGGAAAGCTGTGTGCACGTGTTCTCAGCTCCCTTGGGCACAAACCTAGGAGCGGAATCACGGGTCACCAGGACCTCAGCCTTCCGCCTGAGAAACGCCGGGCGTTTCCAGGGAGCTGCAGCGTCACCATCCGCCAGCCGTGCAGGGGTGCGGCTTGATGGTTTGTTTTTATTTTCGTTTGCTATAGGGCATGTGCACTCACCAGAGAGAGACAAAGAGACAGAGAGACGGGGAAAGTGAGAAAGCACCCCGGGGGGGGGGGTGGCCTCCTTGCAATCCCTTCTCCAGCTCCTCTCCAGATTTTGGGCACCCACGCCTCTGGCGTGATGGTCAAGCTGCCAATCTAGGACCCAGACTACAGTCAGCCCTGTGGGATCCAGCCGGCTTCATGGCTGGCACAAGGTGTTAGTTATTTTAGAGATTTTTTGCTGCAGGGCACATGTACTCTCCAGAAAGACAGAGAGACAGAAAGTGAGAAATGGTCCCCAGGAGATGGCCACACTGCAATCCCTTCTCCTCTAGTCTCCTCTCGAGATTTGGGCACGTGCACACACGCGCCCAGCACGAGTTTCAAGTCACCAGGGACTGGGCCTTGACCGCGGGCGACCACGTGGGGGCCCAGCACCCTAACTCTGCTCCTACACCCCTGCTGCGCTGACCGACCTCCCCGCTGCGCATCAGCAACACCAGAGAACTCGCAGGTGCCTGAGGGCGGGCGTTTATTTAAGATGTGGACGTGGACGGGGACAAACGTCCACGTGCCTCACGCTGGGCCTCTGTCGGGGCGTCCTCACTTCCAGCGTCCTCCCACACGGCCCTTCCCTGCCCCCTTCCGGCTGTGGGGGGAAAGGAGGTGTGTCAGGACGGGCCTCTCCCGGCTCTGAGATGGGCCCAGCGCTCGCTCGGAGCAGGGAAGAGAGGGCAGGAGGGACGAAGCCACAGCCAAGGCCTCCTCCCGACACAGGCCGGCCGCCCCTTGTCGTGGGGGCTGTGCCGCGCCGGGTCGAGGCCAGCGTCTCTGGTCTCCCCACTAGACAGCAGGTGCCCCCCAACTGCAGCGGCCAGCTCTCCTGGCGTGCCCACGTCCTCTGAGGACAAGGTCGCTGTCTCCGTGCCCACCCGCAGTGACAGCCACAGGGCGAGGGGACCGAGACCTGAGAGGCGGAGGAGACCAAGAAGGCCCGAGCATGGGAGTGTCCCAGTGAGGGACGAGGACAGGGAAGGGACAGGGGCTGGGAAGTTTCCCCAGAGGGATGGGGCGTAGGGCAGGCGGGGCGGGGCGCAGGGGCAGGCAGGGC